GATCTACAAAGTGGTATGTAGATGCATCTCTCTCCTATCACTCGTTGCTTAGATGAACTCATAGATGGATCTTGGTGAAACCGTACATTTTTTTTATTATTTTCTGCAACGTTGCCCAACAGGATATGCCGGCACCGGAGACGTAGTGCCAGATAATCCACATTCAGGGGAGAAGAATGCACGTGACAGTTGCATACAATCTGCGGACAAACCACCTATGCATGTTGTCATCCCCGAAGGCGGAAAATGAACATGTATAAGCCTGGGGAACTGTTTCTATCAGATTCTATGTTGGAGACCCTCTCGATTGATCTTCAAATTCTACACGCCCATGTGGTAGATAAATCAAAAACTGTCAACATGGATACACGGCCAAGGTGATAGAAGGTTATAGTTTTGTCCCAGAGTCTCCGGCCGATAGAATTGATTTGGCCTTTGATGAGGTAATCTATACAAATATGTTCTCCATCAGTGCAGTCTCCCTAGAGTTAATGAGGCTCTGGGTACTTCATCGAGCTACAGATCCCCTACTCCCGCATGGTAAAATGTCCTTACGTGATCCTTTTTACATGTACTGCCACAACCTGGAAACCACAGAAGTCCAGGAGGTCATCTCAGACTACATGTTCTCGTTCACATATCCCCGTTCTTTATTGTCAATCATCCACATGCGGACACCTTTCTAGTGCCATACTGCAAAGTAAGTCATTAACGTTCACTAATTTATTTTGAAACATATAAATGGCCTTGTGGTTTGATCTCATCAATGCTAATTTCTTTATTTTTTTCGCTTCCATTTCATTTATTGCCATACCGCAAAGAAATTACACTTCCATTTCATTTATACATTTATTCGCTGAATGGCACGCACCAGCCACGCACGCACGCACATACAGAAATGATCGATGATCATAATAAGTCAGGAAGACTACAAGGAAACGTCCTCTAATTACTGATCCATGTGTAAATCATTTCGTGCGGGGCAGAGAACGATCTGGTAGTTGGTTCCGGCGGGGCAGGTGAAGGTGCTGGTCTGGTCGTCCTTGGCGTAGCTGTAGGCGTCGGGGCACTTGCCCTTGAAGAACTTGGAGTAGTTCGTCGGCGGGCAGTTGTGCTCGAACTGTCCCCGGCAGCAGTAGGTGTCGCCGCCGAACTTGCCGCACGCGCTCGCGCACCCTCCGGGCACCTGCAGCTCCGGCAGGCACTCCCTGGTGATGTCCACAGCGCAGGTCGCCGCACGGCAGGGCGCGCCGCCGACGGGCTGGAAGCTCATGGGCGTATTGAAGCCGTCGATGACGGACAAGTCGAAGAAGTCCTGGCTCCCGCCCCGCCCCAGCGTGTACTCGGCCAGCGTGGCGGGCTGCTCGCCCGACACGCGGCAGGACAGCGCGCCCGCGCAGTCGCCGGTGATGCACCGCCCGCGGCCGCTGCCGTCGAAGGTGCAACCCGTGCGCGGCCACACCCTGGCGCCCGCGGTGCCGGCGGGCATGTTGAGCTGCCACGACTGGCCCGGGTCGAGACGCGCGCCGCCGCCTGGGAGCGCGCCCGGCCATATCGTGTAGGAGCACCGGTTCACCACGGTTATGGTGGTCGCCTCGGCCGCGGCGACGACGGCAAGGACGAGGGCGATGAGGTGGAGGATGCGAGAGGACGTCATGGCTGCTGCCGTTGTTGTTTACGTGATGCGGCGATTCTGAATGGTTGGTTTGGTGGTGTGGCAATGGAGGTATTTATTGCCGCGCGTCCACAGGCTGCTATATGCTGGTTTGGTGGCGTGTCCAAATCCATGCCAGCTAGCCTGCCTAGACATTTTCCACGGCGGCGTCTGCATCATGACGCAATTAATATGATTACAATGTAAGGTGCTAGAAGGCCAGAATCACTGAATCACTAGTATTCCCTCCGTCTAGATGTCACCTTATGAAAATTAAATAAACCTAAAACATTTGGGCACGGTACATTAACTCTCTCCTAGTTTCTTGTTTCATGACATATCAGTGACCGGGTCTTCAGTCTCCCTGACGGATTAGAGCGCCCAAGTGTCAGACAACCCGGTCATTTAAGTAGGCTTTATGGGGTCCGGTTAGGTCAACCTTTTCTTCCCTCTCCTATCCTGTCAGTGTTTCTGAAACTGCCCGGTCGATTTAAGGAGTTCGGCTGTAGGTGCTCTTAGCTAGTACATCACCAGTGAAGGGCGGTCTCCCGTCAGAGTAGGGTTAATCAAACTATTATAATATATGGTCAAACAATGCTTGTTGTTCCAAGATATACAAGTGAAAAATGCATATCTAAGATGGAGAAGGCTTCACCCACATCGGTCCTCGATGTACGTAAAGGACCGATACGCCGCCACTCCACCACATAGACACCAACAGCCACGTCCACTCCGGCGAGGCACTCGGCTATTTGCCCTCTCATAGAGATCGACCCCTGTCTCTCCAGGTTCGCTACCCACAATCGGGAGCCGGACTGGCACTAGGGACATGATCACCCACGAGATATGGTAATTTGGTGGCG